TATATAGACAAAAAATAACCTATTTCATTGAAAAAATATATAATACTTCATTAAATTTGATTTAACTCTAGTAATAACTATGTGGCTTAAGTATTTTAGTCTTTCTGTCTTCAAATTCCTCTTCTATAAATTTATATGGTGAAGATTGAGGTAGTTTATACAACCAAGCAGTAATTCAATAAAATTCCTTTATTTTTACCTAAAATTAGCTGGAAAATGCATTTCCAATGTTCTCAAGAAAGATAAACACCATTGTTTGGAATTTAACTGCAGTAAATTTTACTAAATTTATTGGTGTGTATATATGGTGTATAAACATAGAATCTTCGAGAAACTTAACATTTCATTGCAAGCAAGTGTCATGATAACAACCAATTCCAATGTGTGAGCTTATTACACTGGATCCTAGCTCAAGAGAAAGAGTCTTGTGGCAGGTTAGTAAACTGAAATTTGAACAGGATACTGAATGATCTTGGAGATTAATATACTCTTAAGAACTATAATCCGAAGTATTTAGTGCTTAAATAGCATGGTGCAACTTACCTTCAAATTAAATAGTGAAGGGATTAAGAAGTATAAATTGGTAGTTAACCCCCAAAAAGATGTAAATAAAATACAACATAGGGAATATAATCAATAATATTGCAATAACTATGTATGATGCCAGTTGGGTACTGGAAATATTGGGGGACTTAGATGATCCTAAAGTATAGGATCATCTAACCACTATGCTGTACACCTGAAAACCAATACAAAATAATATTGAAAGTAAAATGTAATTAAAAAATAAAATTAAATGAAAAATGTCCAATTTAAATGAGAGTTAAAGAAAAAAAAATATAAGAGAAAGAAGAGAGAAATATGGCAAACCATTAATATAAGAAACAAAGTAGAAGGTATAAGTTTGTGCGTTGTATTATTCTTTCAACTTTTATATCTTTAAAAAAATCATATCATTGGAGGAAAGCAAGTTTTTTATATCATTATTTGCATTGGTAATCAATCTATGCTTATTTATTAAAGCATTTATGGGCTATAATCAATATTTTAAAATCCCTACTTGTGTAAACATGAGTACTATGCAACAAAACCATAAGTGAAGTTATATGTACATATATTCTTTCTATTTACTACCATTAACATTCATGTGTTCTCCTAATTTGTTCTACAATATATTATTTTTTGTAAATTTATAAGTATATTTTTGAGTCATTTCATAACACTGAAATTAGTTGTTTGTTTCATACTTAATATTTGATAAATGTATAAAAATAAAAATTAATGAATTAGAAAGACACAGTTGGAAATATTAAAGCAGAGTCCATATTCTGCATTATGTAATAAAGTTGGCATCTGCAATATGTTGTATTTGTTTTCCCTTGGACCACAATTTACATTCTTCTATACAAGTAGTGATATAAAGGATATAAAAACACCACTTTCGCCCTGGCCCAGTGGTTCAGTTGGTTGTAGCATTGTCCCATACACCAAAAGGTTGCCGGGCTGATTCCTGGTCAGGGCACATACTACTACCTAGGTTGTGGATTGGACTGCTGCATACTGAAGACTACCAATCAATGTTTCTCTCTCACATCAATATTTCCCTCTCTTCCACTTACACTCTCTCTAAAATCAATAAACATATCCTTGGGTGAGGATTAAAAAAACAAACAACAACAACAAAAAAGTACTTTCTAATAAGAAATTTCAGTTATTTTTCAATTATAACCTGAACATTCCATTCCATTTTAATTTATGGAAAATACAGTATTAAGTAATATAAGTGTGTATATTTTAACATAACTTTTTAAAGATTACCATATATATCAAATTTAGCAAAATAATAGTGATATCTAATGTGACACATTATGACAGTTAATTACTAATTTCGCATCATGATATTGTTAGTTGGCAACCAGTGATTGATGAGAGATAGGTATTATGATATAGATTAAAAAATCACATTACAGATTTTTAAACAATCATTTAAAGGCAAATAGTAAAAGACTTTATTTAAATACCATAGCTACTTAGTAGGGCTTCATGATTCACTCTGAGGTCCTCTGAAGAGAATAATCCATTGCAATGATTATTTTGAAACTTACCTGAAAGCATGGTTTTGACATTCACTGACATATTTGATATATTCTTTGCAAATGTAGATACTGATGCTGAACCTTTAGATCTTATTTTGTTAGTGGGGGAGGAAAAAAAGTGATTGAGGCTCATTGAGAGGCTCTACTCTCTTCCAGGGACCAAGGAATGGGAAAATGGGGCAGAGAAAGGAGGAGAGGGGAAGAGCTGTCAGCACTATCTGGAAGTGGGGGAGGGGTGGTATGCTGGAAAGGAACTGGCCTTTGGGGATCCTGGAAACTCAGCATGACTGTTGAGTCAAAATCACATTACTGATAATCTATGGCAAAAACTGATTACCAATTTGCTCACAAATAAAGCACAATTTATTTAGAATTCAGTGATAATGAACATGAATCTGGCATATATAATTTCAAAAATGTATATGAACATTATATTTTTTTGATAAATTAAAGTCGGGGATATATATTTATAGAAATTCCATTTTTAAATTTTAGACATTTGAAACCTCATTAATAATTGAAATGCTAATATCCCACAGTGTCCCAAAAACAGAATTGGAAGATGTTCTGGTAGTGATAGGACACTTGGCTTTCTGAATATACTTACCAGTAATTTCTGAGAATCCAGGAAGAAATTATCAGGATTACTGTTTCTTACTTGCAATTCTAAGGTTTCATGTGTAGGATTAGTTAAAGGAAAGTTCTGAATGATAAACCTAGAAAGTAAAACAAAGCTAGTAACCTTGTTCATAAACTTATTCAATGTTAACTTTATAAACTTGATTACTATTACCTAGTATGTGTTGAATTGCATGCTGCAAAAAGATAAATTGAAGTCCTAATTCCCAATACTTCTGAGTGTGACTTTATTTAGAAATCAGGTTGTCGCAAATGTTATTAGTTAAAATGAGGTCATACTGGAGTAGGGTGGCCCTTAATCCAGTATGACTGCTATCCCTATATGAAGATGATATGAAGACACATGAGAAGATAGCCAGATGACAGTGTAGGTGGAGATTGGAGCGATGCATCCATAAGGCAAGGAACACCAAGGGTTGCATGCAAACACCAGAAACCAGAAGAGGCAAGGAAAGATTCTCCCTTACTGGTCTCAGAAGAAGCATGGTCCTCCTGAAACCTTGATTTCAATCTTCTAGCCTCCAAAACTGTGAGACAATAAACTTATGTTGTCGTAAGCCACTCAGTTTATGGCACTTGTTATGGCAGGCCTAGAAAGCTAATACAACTTGTATGAGTTTCAAAATAAGAACCATCAAATATTAACTAATGACATTTTGCTAAATTAGATAATCCCTGATTCCCTCTCTATATTTTTACACCAATGGTATTTACACATTGGGTACTGGAACATATTCCAGTTTTAGGAGCAATGTTTACAAATTACTTTATAACTGTTAAATCCAGACAAAAAAGTTAACATAGTATATAAATAATAACAAAAAGTAACAAAGTTCTGTCCATTACATCAAGAAAATACAAACTGATGATGAAATAAACCTGCCTCCCCCAAAATGTGGCTGGTATTTATGGTCAAAGCAAATAATAATCAAGAGGGTTGATAATTCTCAATTCACCATCATTTCTAATGCCTTTTCATATAGAGCAAACCAAAACCACACTGCGATATCACCTCACACCTGGTAGGATAAATATTTTTTTTTAAGTAGAAAGATATGTATTGGTGAGAATGTGGAGAAAAGGGAACAGTCACACACTGTTGATGAAATGCAGATTGGTATAGGCACTATGAAAACCGTACTGTCCAGCCACTGTGCTGTCCACCTGAAACTAATACAAAATAACACTGAATATAAAATGTAATTGAAAGAAAAGACTATCAACATGGTCTATAAATATATGACCAGGGAGTCAACTTCATTAATCATGAGGAAAATGCAAACTAAAAGTGCATTGAGGTACCACTTCAAATGCACCAGAATAGTTAAAACTAGTTTTACAATACCCATGTTTTTGAGGATATGAAGCAAATATAATTCATTTGTGGCTAGTCCAATATAATAAAAGGGTAATATGCAAATTGACCCTAACAGCAGAACAACTGGGAATGACTGGTCACTATGACACGCACTGATCAGCAGGGGGCAGACGCTCAATGCAGGAACTGCCCCCTGGTGGTCAGTGTGCTCCCACAGGGGAAGCTCTGCTCAGCCACAAGGGCTGATGGGGGGTACCAGTACAGCGGTGGTGGTGGGAGCCTCTCCCGCCTCCTCAGCAGCACTAAGGATGTCCAACTGCAGCTTAGGTCTGCTCCCCGCTGGCAAGTGGACATCCCCCGAAGTCTCCCGGGCTGCCAGAGGGATATCTGACTGCCAGCTTAGGCCCAATCCCTCAGAGAGTGGGCCTAAGCCAGCAGGTGGTCATCCCCTGAGGGGTCCCAGACTTCGAGAGGGCACAGGCTGGGCTGAGGAACCCCCCCCGAGTGCGCAAATTTTTGTGTGCACCGGGCCTCTAGTAGGAGTATAAAAAGGTACAAGCAATTTCAAATTCTTTGTCATTAACTACTAAATTTAAATTGTTTACATAACAGAAATGAGCACAAATGTGCAACAAAAGCATATACAATGTTATAAACAATATTTTTCATATTAGACAAAACCTGAAAAAAAGGTTCATCAAAATAAAAAGGAATATTTTTTCAAATGAGGAATAGCACACAGAACAACATGAATAGGTCAATAAGGCCCAACTATCAATTTAGAGCCTCACATATAAATATCCTATCTAATAATAGACAAACATGGTAATTAACCATACCTCCGCTACGCTTCCCATTGGCTAATCAGGGTGATATGCAAATTAACTGCCAACAAAGATGGCGGCCGGCAGCCAGGCAGCTGAAGC